AAATATTCTTACCACCAAAAAGCAAGATTTAGTCCAGTCTCAGTGTCCTGGAAGAGAAAGTTATCTATCTACTGGATAGCTTTTTTATTCCAGAGCTGAATTTGAGTGATAGGTTCAGGATAATGGCTGAATCTCTGGAATCCCTGGGCAGTGGTGAGGGGTCTTTCCATGGTGGAGGTGGGAGGGGTGATGACATCACTACATCAGAATTTAGAGGTTCTGCTTAGATTAGGCTAAAGGATGCTTTAATTTATCTTTGCCTGAGGCAACTCTGAAACAGAAGGACATAATTTAGTGTATAGCACTTCCCCAAAATAATGTGTATATGAATCACTTGGATTTCTTATTAAACTGCAGGTTCTGATCCTGTAGATATGGGGTGGGCTTGAGAGTTCTAGCTGGTAGGTGATGCTTGTTACTTTGAGCAGCAAGGCATCAGGACTCACCTTTAGAACACCTTTCCTTTGAGCTCCCTTGCGTTCTGTACACGTGGTGCCCTATCTCTGATACCAGCTCATTGTCCTATGTACATACCTGCCTGTTTCTGCCTGGAAGCCCCCTGGAGAGCAGGGTCCTTTTCTTGTTTAAGTATCACCAAATGCTAACATAAAGCCTTGCACATAATAGGTGCTCAATAAAGAATTGATGAATAAGTGACTGTAGGTATAGGAAATTGTTCAAATTATACCCAAACCAAGGTTCAGCCTAATGAGCTCTTGGAACTCTCAGTTGTAAGCCAGATCTCTATTGTGCTGATCAGTCAGGGTTTCATTGTCACTTTGATCAAGGCTCCCATGCTGGGCACCACAGGGATGGAGTGGAAAGAGGAGGCAGAGACCTCAGCACTGTGAAATTTGCCATCTCAGTAGTGAAACAGGGTTGAGGCCCACTTGAAGCAACGTTAAAATGCTTGCACAGTAACTTCTAAATAAGTGCAAATAAGGGAACAATCCATGGGTACCATGGCAGCGTGCACCTCTAAAAGCTAATACTTAGTTGCTTGTTTCTCTAGTTGTTGAAATCAGGATTGCTTTTTGAAGGAGGTTAGCAAGGAGCACAAGACACCAAGATGCCCTAGGAGACTCACTGCCATCCAGAACCACAAAACCACAGACAAAGTCTGTGCTCGAGGGCTAGTCCTGCTGTTGCCAAGTGGGGCCACACACAGGCTGGGAGCCAGAGGGAAGATGATTGGCATTTTTCAGCATGGGAAATGGTGACTAGGAAAATGTGAAGAGGAATAAGCAGCAGCCATGTAAGCACAACACATTTGGAGCAAGGAGGAGGCAAAAGTGGGGCTTCCCGAAGACCCATGCTGAATGCAGAGTATTCCAACTTTGCTAATTAACAGAACAGCAGGCTTGTAATTCTGACAGCAGCAGGACACAAACAGGGTGGAACTAGTACTGAAGGCCAGGGAAGCTGCCTTTGTCCTTAAGAAAAAGCACGAAACTTACATTGGGTCAGGTCCATGAGGATGCCCCCTGGTTCTTTTCTTTCCTGCAGTTAAGTCCAAGGGCACAGGTGCTTTTATATCTTCTCAGGCTTTTTTTAGAGGCAGCAAGGGGCCTAATGTTTCAACAGGCTTCAAAGCTAATCTGCAGTTGTTGTAGAGTTTATAGTCTAAGAGTTCTGTCAAATATACCTTGTATCAGAGGTAGCAGCTGCAGTCAAGTCTGCCTCTTTCAACGTGGCAGTACTTCATAGAAGCACTTCCATTGCAGGACTCCCGTTTTGGTAACCTGGGCCAACTGGGTAATGTGCCCTGAGCATCCCAATTGCTAAGCTGATTCCTGGGAAAATGCAGGCTGGGAGGCCAGGGAAGAGTTGTTTTATCTTCCCAAAGTGCACTGAATCTTGTTATTGAATTTGTTCCCAATACTTTCTTTCAAAGTATATTGATCTGATAATCTGAGGATCTTGAAGGACAATAAATAGAAGAAAAGGTTTAAAAAATCTTAGAATGGTAGAGCTGAGTAGTACCCTGGAGATCATCTGCTCAGATACCAGTACTTCGTGTGACTGAAGAAGCCACTGACCTTATTTATGCAAGTCACTTTAGGAAGGATTAATGTTTCATTTGTTCGTTTATTCTTTCATCAAATATTTATAGAACATTTTCTATGAGTCTGCCCAGACATGTACCTGGTAGCGAAAACATGTTGCTATTTTCATTGGTCCTATTCGAGTTAGTGTTCAATGAACTTCCCCTTTATTATAGATTCCAACTGCTGGTTCCACAAGGGCCCTGGGGGAATCGATAAACGGGCTCTTCACCAGGGCAGATAGGTTTTTTATGCTAGGTCGCCAACTTCAGAGCTGCTGGGCTAATTGGTTTAGCTCTACCTGGCTTTACATAATACAAATATTGTTATAAAGTTATTTGTAGCTCAATTTCTGACAAATGAAAAACTAATTCCAACCACTAAGGCAACTTTTATTTAAAGAGACCCTGGAGGAAATCCTTTTATAATGTGAAAAATCTTGTTACTGTTGTTGCAAATGATTATTCCCTAGTTAAGGATTTTGTAAATCTGAGCACTTTAGTTTTTTCATAATGAGCACACGGCTGGCAGATAGCTTAGTGTGGCCTGAACCAGACAAACACTCTGGCCTGGGGAGAGGAAACTTTAGGAATCTTAGACCAGCCCCACCCAAGATACTGACATTTGTTTGAGCCAATGACTGCAAGCTGCCTGGACAAGCTACTAACTACTCCCCTTCTGTCAGGTCCTGGAGTCTGGAAAGGAAAATGAAGAGGTAGGCACAATGAGTGGGGTGGGAAGGATGAAATTCAGAGCTCCCTCTCTCTCTGTATGGGTGGGAGCAAAGAGGGGGCAGGATGGGGAACCTTTTACTTTTGTTATAGCAAATTCCAAACTGTTCCTTACTGTCCAGGGACTATGTGGAATTAGAGCTGTCTTGTATACTTTCAACATGGTAGGGAAGGAGAGGAAGAGCAGTGGAAAAAGTAGGACAGGAGTTTAGGAGACAAGAGAGTTTGTGGATTTTTGTTCAGTAAAATATCATTTGTTTGGGCTTTACTATTTTTGGACTTGTAAATAATTTGAAAGAAGACAGGACTGAAGTTTAATTTCCTTATTAAAATTTTTTTATGTAGAAATTAATAGTATATGTAGTGATATACAGGAAAACGTTTTAAAACTGATGTATAGAAAGACATGTTTCACATATGAAAATAAGCTATTTTGATGCAGAATTCATGTGTTAGTTAAAGATGATCCTTGTCTAGTTGGTAAAGCCTGATAGGACTCTTCTTTCATGAGGAAGCTGAAACATCCCCCTATTGCGTGGGAGTGAAAAAACTCTATGTGCCTATTCTATAATGATTCATATTGATCTGCTTAGTTTCTACTAGTGAGATTTAATAACTTTTCTGTGTTGGAAGTTAAGTTCAGAACATAAAGATCTATAGAAACTAAGAATAGAAAATATACACCAATGGTTTTAGTTAGAGCTTTCATTTTTATGGTGTTTTTTTATTTTTCTTCTATTGCTCAAAATGAGCCTTATAGCTGGTTACTCCAGCATCAGGTACTATGGACCACTTGTAAACAGAAGTAACTGATAAATAGAAAAGTTCACTGTCTTCATTTAGTGAAGAATGAAAAAGAAGAAGTAGGTGAAATGGTCGGAGACACTTTGGGCATTTGTTTGGGGTGAGGATCTGACCTCTGGCCATGGAAACTTGTGTTCTGGGGACACATCTCTCTTCCTCTTTGGTTGAATGTGCAACTGGCTCATTCCCCTTCACGAGGCCAGTGATCTTATCCTGGGTGGTTGCCAAAATTCCTAGGGGCGTCTCTAGAAACAGTCAATGTTAGGGATTGAGACAGCACTGGGACCACAGGGGAGTAAGCCAAGGGGAGAAAGGCCATAGAGCAGGTGCCTGTGGTCTCTGAGTCTGTCTCACTGAGCTGACACAGAACCTCCTCTCTTTCGGGATCCATTTGTGCCATGTCCCTAGTTGTGATGCACAGCAGAGTTATAGCTTGCAGAGCTTTGCGTGTGGGCTGGCTCTCCTGGCAAGTCCTCGTGGGGCACTCAAGTTGAATGACAGGGGCTCAGTGAGTTGGTCTGGGGTTTTGTGTGTATGTGGAAGCTGGGTCCTCCCTTCCCACCCTTCTCACACCAGGCTGGGTTGTCTTCTGAGGCTGTGGTCTCCAGGCACATTGTTTTTTTCTATTCTATATGAACCCCAGGCCTCTGCCTCCAACCCCCTAACTAATAGGAACTAAACTATTCCCCAGAAAGGACTTTCCAACTGAGAGATAGATTTAGACAGAGAACAAGTTGCTAAAAAGGGAGTCACTTCCTTCCCAGGAGACTGGTGTCTCCCCACCTCTAGTCTGTTGCAGATGGTGATGGTGTCATTGAGCAGGAGGAGGAGGAAGGTGGAGAAGGCTATTGCATTCAACTTTGCAACTTTGCCTCCCACTTGGGGATTTTTGTGGTTTACGTTTCCCATTTGTGAAATAAACTCTAAGAGTCACTGTACCACAGAGGGGAAAGGTAAAAATAATTAATTGGGGCATTGTGGTCCATCTTGACATTAACCTGTTCAACAGATATTTGGATATTTGTTGAGTACTTACTGTGTACCAGACACTCTGCTAGGCATTAGAGGAACAAAAATAGTTTTTTAAAAGGCCCCCAACTTTGACTTGCTCACAGCAACAGGATTATAGTTTTTACCTCCAGGGTAAAGAGCTTTGTGTACACAGTGGAGGGTGACTTGGACTGTCCTCTCCTTGGGAGGGACCAGGAGTGCCACACCCTTGGTCACCCCTGTGGCCTGGCATCATGTGAAAGTGTTCTTTCTGTGTGGACCCACTCCTGTTCCTTGGGGCTGGACTGTAGGGTCTGAATCAGGCATAACTCTCTGGCCCATAATGGGGTTGCAATGCTGAGAATGGGGCCCAGAGATTCAGCCATTTGGCCTCTTTCACCCTGATTCCTTCTGTTTTGTTGTCTCACAGGGTCTTTTCGGAATGATGGTTTGAAAGCTTCTGATGTCCTTCCCATCCTAAAGGAAAAAGTGGCCTTCGTGTCTGGTGAGTGTCTGTGGAACTTTCCTCTGAAATGGACTGGGAAAGCACGTGTGCATGCACATGCAAGCTGGTGCTCACTTGTTTGTGTATGAGTGAGAGAAGCGGGGATGGAAGGGGTGCTGGGAACAGGTACTGCCTTTCTCCAGAGGCAGGCAGAAAGGGAAGGGAGAGCTCTGGTCCCAGCCGGGTGTTCTGGGAGATGCTCACATCCACTGGTGGGTGCCCCCCAAACACCTCACATACTGCCCCCCATACACATACACCTCACCTCACCCTGCCCTCCCAGGCCTGGTAGGCCCGGCATGAGCCACTGAGGCCCTATGGGAGATGCTTCAGTTGGCGGAGTGTGTCCACTTCACACACTGCCAGAGATTTTATTGGGTTCATTTCTGAGTGAGTTATGGACAGGAGATTAAAAATGTTTCTGGCTCCTCTTCTCTCTTTTCTGTCAAAGGGAACTCAAATATTTGTATCTATTTATTTTACTGAATAATGACTTCCAAATAATTATTTTTGACCTTTCTCTCCAGTTTTTCTTGTATACCTAGACCTTGTAATGTCTGATTCAAGGGTCATCAAACTATAGCCTGTGGACCAGCCACCTCTTTTTGTAAATAAAGTTTTACTGAAACACAACCATGTGCATCTGTTAAGGTATATTCGTTTCCTATTGCTGCTTTAACAGGTTACCACAATTTCCATAGCTTACAACAACAGAAATTAATTTTGTCACAGTTCTGCAGGCCAGAAGTCCAAAATCAGTTTTCTGGGCTGAAATCAGTGTCAACAGGACTGTGCTGTCTCCAGAGGCTCTAGAGCAGAATGTACTCCCTGCTCTTCCAGGGTCTGGTGACTGCCAGCCTTCCTTGGCTTATGGCCACATCACTCCCATCTCTACCTCTGTGGTCACATTTTCTTCTGTATCCAACCTCCCTCTGTGTCTTCCTAATAAGGATACCTGTGACTGCATTGAAGGCACCTGGATAATCCAGGGTAACCTTCCCAAGATCCTTAATTTAGTCTCATGTGCAAAGACTCTTTCCAAATAAGATAACATTTAAAGGTTCCAGGGGTTAGGACCTGATGTGTTCAGGGGCCGTTATTTGGCCTACTACAGGTAGTGTTAGTGGCTGCATTCTCACGACAATAGCAGAGATGAGGAGTTCCAGCAGAGACCAGATGGCCACAAGCCTAAAATATTTACTCTCTCTCCCTTTAGGAAAAGAAAGTTTGGTGACCCTTGCTATAATTGAAGCCAAGCTCTAGGTGCACCAGCATCTCTCCAGGTGCCAGTTCTAGGGCTTCATTGTATCAGAATGGATGCAAAGTCTCCTGGATCAGAATCTTTGGAAGGGGTTGGGGTATTGGCCATGTGAGTAGCCAAGGATCACATTTAAAGAAACATCCCCAAGTGCTTATTTATACCTTACAGATGGAGCCTGTTTCTGAGTTCTACCACCCTCTACAAGGAGTGGGTGTGCAGGGAAAGAGCCAGGGTAGCCTCACAGTGCAGTGGCTCATTCCACAGGCACCGCTGGCCTGGCCAGTGGGCAATAGCCAAGTGGTGGTGTGGTGTGGGGGGAGGAGAAACCAAGTGGTAGGTGTCTGTCTCCTGACTAGAGGGGAGGTGAGAGACCGATAATTCAGAGCGCAGGGCTGGGAGGTGAAGGCAGAGCACGGGATGGGAGTATGTGAACCTTCGTGAGGTTCTGAGCGCATTCCATGTTGTTAGTAGTAGTAGTAGTAGTACTAGTAGCAATACTCGTGTTGTATTGGTGGTAGTGGTGTTAGATGAGAGTGACTGGGAAGCTGCCTTTCGCCATTAGCATCAAGAGCTTGTAGATCTTACTAGGAGTGAGCCCCTGTCATTGAAGATATCAAAGCACAGGCTGAACAACCCCCTGGCAGGTTCCTGTGGCAGTGATGTCAGTATGGGTAGGGGTGCAGGTGAGACAGCCTCCAGGGCCTTTGTCAGCATGGCTCTGAGTGCTTACTGAGCATGTGGGACAACCTTGCAGAAGACCTGGGGGCCACTGGGCAGTGCTAGCCCCAGCCTGATTTCTCCCACTGCCCATAGCCTGGCACCCAGGATATGGCCCACAGCCATCTGCTGTTTACTGTCTGCTGCCAAATAGAGCCCAATCAGATCTTTTCTCGTTTATGACCCTGAGCCTTATTTAACCTGATGTCTTTCCTGTCCCTGGGTATCCTGCCAATCTTCCCATTTCTCTTACGCCTGAGCTTCCTCTATCTGCAATGCTTTCCCCACATCTTCTGCCAATTTGAACCTCTTCTCCTTTCTAAGTCAGTTCCCACTTTGCTTTCTCTGGAGACCTTCCTGGCTTTACCCTAGCCTCTGAGCACCATCCTGTTCCATAGCAGTTTAGGGCACTTGGGTGCAGATATGGTATACTCTCACATGAGGACCCTTGCTTAGTTGTTCATGGTTTATCTTTTCCCATGTTAATTCAGTTGGAGCCCTGTAGCAGGGCTCAGCTATCCCTCAAAAAGACCTTGCCGAGTGTATGGAGTTGTCCTAAGGGAGCACAAGGAAGCAACATGCCAGGAAGGTGGTTAGTCAGGCCTGAGGCAGGTGGCAGCTTCCCAGAGCAAGATCAGGGGGCTGGGGTGTGCAGCTCACTCTTACATGCCAGTGTGGGCCGAGCAGTCTAGCACAAGTCTCACTCGTCTGCATGTGGCGCCAGAAGTTTGGGCTTGGGGAACATTGTCCTTCTGTGCCTAGGAAGGCGCTAGGGATGCCAGGGAGATGACTAGCTGCATCTAAAAAATAAAACAAAAAACAAACCAACAAATCCCTTACATCCAAAGCTTTTGAAGACAAAACCTAAGAACGAAAAAAGTAAAGAAGCCCAGAATTAAATAATGCAGTGTAGCAGTTGCAGTTCTTTCTGAGAAGAAAGCGCTGCAGGCAGGTGGTGGGCAGAGAAACAAATTGTTGGTTGTGCCCACTCTCCCCTGCTTGTGCCCCCAGCATGGCCAGGGTAAAGGAAAACCGTGCTGCCATGGGAACACACATCTGCAATAATGCGGTGCAGCCCAACAGCTTCTGCATGTGGGCGTGTGCACATGTGTGTGGCAGGATCTGTGGCTGTGCCTCAGGGAGCCTCCCCCATTCCAGCCCAGTGGCCTGCCCCATAGTCACCCCCTGTGCACACCCCCTTGCCCTCTCTCTGGCTTCTTTTGTGTGCCTGCACCTCCTTCTCACAGCACCCATTGTCCCTTTTATCCAACCCTCTTGTGCAGGGCCCATTTCTTCTCTCTTATTTTGGTGTGCACCCACACCCTTCTTGCCACCTCCTGATGTCCCTCTCTGCCTCCGTATCTCCTACCAAAATTGCTCTCCATTGTTCCAGGGAAACTCATGCTGCTGTGGCACAATCTTTTGTACCCTGGATCCATGTCTCTCAAACTGTGTTTCATAGAACAACAGCACTACACAATTATCCTTAAAGAAGAAAAAGGGGTTCTACTCTCAAATTAAGTTTGGGAAATGCATATTATATCCCCCCTCATGGAGATTTGCCCTGTTCATTAAAGCACCTGTCCATCAGGTACATGAAGCATCTCCCAAACTACAGAATAACCTCATTCCCTTAAAAAAAAATATCATGTGTATCCATTAATATCTTGCAGAACTGTTGTACTTGGACCAAACTCTTGGTGTGATTCCCTTGATGAATTTTTCTTGTCCCTCCTCACCTTCCCTAACTGCCCTAATGGAAACCCAAATCTCCATTAAAATGTGAGCACCATTCCTCCTCTAGCTCAATCAGGGAAGCTTCCTGATTTCAGCCTTGCCTCCTCCCTAGCCCTGTCATGCCCTGCCTCTATGGCCGGGAATCAGTGCTATTTCTAGAGCATCAAATAATGCTCTCTTTATTCTATACATTCCTATCCTGTAGCTCCTAGCACCAAAGCCTTGCTTAAGTAGGCAAATAGGTATTTGATGAGCAGGGGCATGGCACTTTTGAAGATCCTGCTACCATCTCTATCATCTTTTTAAAACAACTACTTTTGTCTTCCACCCTCTGGGATCCACTTCCATAATGCACATAGACCTTAGCAGGGGGTTCTCATTCTCATCTGTGCTTATTGCTCTCAATAATTTCAACAACCTTGTCAATTATCGATCTAAGCCTATACCTTCGTGTCTGGTAGTCTCCTTGACACCAAAGCCTTCCACCTCCTTACCTTGGCCATGAACATCCAAGACCTTGACCCTTGATATGTCTGTGGCCTTAGCCTCTTACTTTTAACTCTTTTTTGATGTTTCCCTGTAAGTTGGGAGAGGATGGATATCAGATGAACAAAACATATGCTGTTCCCTCTATTCTGGGAACTAAAAATCCAACAGGACATTCTGTACCCTTACTGGGCCCATGCATTAGCTCTATTCTGCCTTCACTCAAGTTAGACCCCAGCATGTACTCCATATCCAGAGCCCTCAACAGAGCTCTCACGGTGCCCCAATCCCCTGCCATAGCCCTTTAAGCCCACATTATACACTTCCTTGCTGTTCATTCTCTATGGATGCTGGCCGGTGACAGCCTGCTTCTTTTCCACAGCACCTCAAGCCTACCCTGACCATTGGCAGGTAATCTTGTCTCCTATTTTACCTGAAGAACAATCTTCTCCAGGCAGGCTGAACTCCTCCCTGTCTGTAATTTATCTGTTCCCTCTTCCCTCCAGAGAAAGGGACAGGACCCTGCTCTGAGGCCTTGCCCCACCCACGGTCCCCATTCTTTCCAGATAATGATCCTCTTCCTCTGCTTCTTCCTTTTACTCCTACAATCTTGCAAGGTTGCCTCCTTTCTGAAAAATGCCTGGTTTGATCTTGCTGCTCCCTCTCAATCTCTCCCAGGCTTCCTCATTCCCCATCTCCTGCCATCTGGAACTTTCCCCAGCCATGATTATGAAACTCCTGTCTCCAAGGGCAGAACTGGCTCTAGCTTGAGAGACAGTGCCAGTAGCCTTCTAAACTCCTTATTTAGCCTTTGCCAGTCAAACCAGCATTGGCTCTGCATGTTCCCACAGCTCTGTTAAAGTACCTGTGAAAGGTCATGAGTAAAGGCAACAGCTGCCATTAGAATCATCTAAGAGTGGAAATCCTTAAGGTGTCAGGCTGGAGGGGAAGGTTGGGGGTGTGGGAGATCCTCCCAGCCTCTGGGAAACCTTCCATTTAAATCCTCCTGTTTCCTTTTCCTCATGTGGAAGGCAGTTGGGAGGTGGGAACTATTTCCAGGGCAGATGAGTTGGGGGTGGCCATCCATTCAGAGAACCAGGGCCCATGGTACAGAAGGTCTGGAGCTGGGGGCCCAGGCCCACTTCTATGGTATTTCTATATAACTCTGCCCTGGCTTGGAGCTGGGGCAGGGGTTTGGGGGTGCAGGGGGATAGGGCTGTCGCCGAAACATTTTTTCACCAGGACAAGTCTCTCATTGGCTCTGATCTTATTTGATCATTTTCTCCTTGCAGACTCCTTATTTCCTCTGCAAGAGTATCCTGGAATGAATTGGATGTTGTTTGTTGAGCCTCCTCTCTGTATGGCTTCTGGACCCCCCAGTTGGAGGGAAACATTATCCATGAACTCATCCTTGGGGGGGCGTCTAGGAGGCTCTGCCTTTCCTTAGAAGAGATTCTTCTTCAGAGGACTGGGCTTCAGCTTCTTTTCCAGTATTGGTGATGGCCAAGCAAACCCTCTTCCTTTTTGCATTAGTTCTCCTTGTGGTTCTTGCTCTGAAAGATGTCATATGGCTGCCTCAGTTGTGTGTGGGACGGGGAGTCTGTGATCATGACACGGGGGTTCTTGGTGTGATAGCCAATGCCCTTGAGGACATTGTTGCTATACCTTAGCTTTATTCCCATCTAACCCTCCTGAGGAACTTGATCTTGCTTCCTAATCACCACACCTACTAGTGAATACATTTTTAAATCATAGAATAAATAGTGAGTGGAAAGTTTGGAAAATAGAGGAAAGAAAAAGCAACCATGTAAAATCCCAGCCTGCTAATACGAACAATGATCATCATTTCAGTATACTACTCCCAGTTTTTTTATCATGATATTTAGAAAACATTTGTAACCATAGTGTGCAACTATGCATTTGCAGTGAATAAGACCTTGAGCATCCTTATTGCCAACAAAGATTCATGTGCCCACCTGGCAGGCTGGAGTGACAGGTGGCACTTCAGGCAGGCAGGCAAGGGGTATATCCTTGGCTGTGTAGAAAATTTTTCTATGGAACTAAAAACCTCCAGCAATGGTGTCCTGGATGGGTGCTTCAAGGGCTTCTCACCATGGTAGTCAGGTAATCCTGAGCCCTCCCACCTCACAGAAGTAGGCAAAGAGAAGTGCATTGGAAGTGTACACTTTCCAATAAAGTGTACAGTAAAGACTGTACACTTTCTACAGCTTGTTTTCTCAGTAAGAGCAGTTACTGCCACCTCCCTTATCATCTCATCCATAGAAAGTTTTACTTCTTTACTTTTCTCAGAGCTTCCCCATGTGCCAGCTCATTAGTCCTTGCAGCAGCCCCATAATATGCTCATCGTCATGTCCATCTGCATCTTGCAGATGAAGCATCAAAGAAGTCAAAAGACTTACCCAAGGTCACATGTTACCTATACCTAAACCCCATGGCCTTGTCCTAAGTAGTAATTGGATTTCTGCCTGCTTCCTCCAGCACCCAGAAGGAATTCTTTTCCCTCTATGACACACTTTCTGGTTGGTGTTCTTAAGATCCCTCTTCTTCCTCCCTGCAGGGGGCCGTGATAAGCGAGGTGGACCCATCCTGACTTTCCCTGCTCGCAGCAATCATGACAGAATAAGACAGGAAGACCTGCGGAAACTCGTGACCTATTTGGCCAGCGTGCCAAGGTAAGGTGAAGGGGAATGTCCACAGGGAAGGGAAGCGGGGAGCTGGGCTGATGCAAGTGAGTTGGAATAGGTCTGTATCCCTGCCAGATGCCTTGTTGATGCTGCCCGTGGAGTGGATTCTAGTTATTCCTGGAACATCGTCATCCATTGTTCACCTCATTCCCATCACTCCCATTGTTACCACTGAGATTCATATGAATGAAGTGGGAGCTGGAAGTGGGAACCATGGGCAGAGGTGAAGGTCCCAGGGAAAGAGAACCAGGACAGGGCCTAGAACAGGAGTCAGCGTGGCCTGGAAGAGAATGAAAGGAAGCTGCTATTTACTTTAAGGAAATGGGAACTTGGGCTGATTCTACCCTGCCTTATCCTTAATGGATTATTTTCAAAACCTCTGGCCTGTGAATGTTTGTGGCTTTGAAGTTTGGGGCAAATAACTCCACTTGTATCATTCAGATAGTGGCAGCCCTGGGGTCAGTCTAAGTCATGCATTTTTCAATGCAGTAATACTGCCCCCAAGGGGGATGAAAATTGGTTCTTGGGGGTAGCAAAAACTTGCTTTTTTATAAATTAAGCACAGATACATACAGTATGTAAACAGATATACTGTTTATTCATGGTATTAAAATTTCATTGGGTGGGACGATTAAGGAAAAATGTTTAAAAAAAAGCTCTCTAGGACTGGTGATAATTTTTTTTTTTGAGAGGACAGCTCTCATATTTATTGATCGAATGGTTGTTAACAACAATAAAATTCTGTATAGGGGACTTAATGCACAATCATTAATCAACCCCAAACCTAATTCTCAACAGTCTCCAGTCTTCTGAAGCATAATGAACAAGTTCTTACATGGTAAACAAATTCTTACATAGTGAATAAGTTCTTACATGGTGAACGGTGCAAGGGCAGTCATATCACAGAAACTTTCGGTTTTGATCACACATCATGAACTATAAACAATCAAGTCAGATATGATTATTCATTTGATTTTTACACTTGATTTATATGTGAATCCCACATTTCTCCCTTATTATTATTATTATTTTTAAATAAAATGCTGAAGTGGTAGGTAGATGCAAGATAAAGGTAGAAAACCTAATTCAGTGCTGTAAGAGTGCCTATAGACTAAGTATTAATCCAAGCTAGACAAGGGCAACAAAACATCCACAGATGCAGAAGATTTCTCTCAAAACAGGGGGGGTGAGGTTCTAAGCCTCCCCTCTATTGATCCCCAATTTCTCACCTGATGGCCCCCCTGCGACTGTGCCTGTCTTAGGTTGTTCCTCGCTTGAGGAATCTTACCCGTCTCTGGCTGGGCTGGTGATAATTTTTTAAAAGATTAAGAAACATTGGTTTCTGAGTGTTTCTAGTTGGTGCTGTCCACAGCGGTGGGTGGAGAGGGACATGTCAAGGAGATGGTCTCTATCTTTCAAGAAGGGAGAAGTGAAGCCTTTGTCTAGTCAGAGACATAGAATGTGAGAACTGGAAGAGCTCTGAGAAGTAATCTAGGCAAGTGCATGTTATGATCTGCTTAGGAAACAGGGTTGATATGGGATGAGAGTTCCTCATAGGGTGCAGTGGCAGCGGTTGGCTTGCAATTCAGCCTTCCTGACTCCTGCCCCAATGCTCTTCCCATCCTTGCTTTTGGCCATCAAGAACTCTGTTCTCTGTCTCCTAGGAGGGCTGGGGCCTGTCAAGTGTTCGTTGTGGCAAATAAGAAGTGGTGCCTTGGGCTTTCAAAACCTTCATCTTGTCTCTACACATTTTATAGGAGAATTAGTAAATTGTAGAGAGAAGCTATATATTCAGCTCTGTCTTTGCTGGGAGACCTTGGATAATTATCGAAGGTGCTGATTAAGTTCTTGAAGCAGGTGTCAAATGAGGCAAGCACTACATTTGGAAGAGCTACAGGGAAGACAAATGTAAAAAGATTGATGGATGGTGATGGGCAGGTGGCAATGGGGATTTAAAAGCAGTCATCAAATGCTTGGAAGGATGTTAAATACAATGGGAGGCCCTGAAGAGCTCTAAGCAGGAGGCTATGAACAAATGATGTCTGTCAAATAGAGTTTTGTTTTTTGTTTTTTTTTTCTTGTATCATATCCATCAGGGGTCAGAAAAGAGAGAAAAGGTCTTAAGCTCCAAGGAAAGGTATTTGGATTATTTCCAAAGAAGAATGTATAAACTTTGAGTGCATGAGACTTTGAATGAAAAATATAATAGAATTTTTTTTTCTGGAAGTCTTTATACAGAAGAAATATTCCCCCCTGTCTTGGAGGCAAGGAGATGGACTAAATAACCAATGATTGATGTGGGTAATTTAGCAATTTAGCCATCTCAGGGCTAAGCAGTTTTAAAAGCACCTTTCCCAAGTATACTACTAACAGGCATAAAACCTGGCATTTTCTAAAGCAATTTACAAGAAAAGTTTTCATGGGGACCCATGACTGGCTTTCATTACTTTTAGAGCCAGAAGAAATTGGGATCCCAAGAGATATGAAGGGTACATTTTTCTCTCTGGAATGTTTATCACATCCCTGCAGCTAATGCATGCTCATCTTTTCTTTATAATAGAAGGTAAAAGAATTGGAAGAACACTTTTCTTCTTTCTGATTGATTAAACAAAGATGGGACAGAATAGATAGGAAGTAATTAAAAAGGAAAAGATTTCTGTTGGGTAAAAAGGAACAAAACCCAAGAGGGGCTGAGAGGAAGGTCATGAAAAAGGAGAAACAATACATTATCATTGAGGGAACATATAGATGCAGGTTCTCTGATTCTCAAAGGGTGATCACAGGCATTGGCTTCTGTCCTGAGAACAGAAAAGGTTCTTCACAGGTTTTGTCAGGTGAGAGATAAGAATCCTATTGTCACCTTTATGGGAAGAATTGTTCTGGGATGCCTGCTGCTATTGTCCTGAGGGGCCTGTGTTCATTAAGGTTGTGAGTACCTGGCAGGCTGCAGAGTCTGCCAACCAGCCATGCCCATCCATTACCTCCCAATTCTCTTGGTCATAAGTTCACACATGATGACTATTGGAAGCAAAACCTGGAACAGAATTGTCCTAAAGACAGTGAAGTTGGGGGAGGGAAACCGAAGAACTTAGTGAGTCAGATAGTGTTTGCCACTCTTCTGCTTAGTCATGGCTCTGGGAAAAAAGGGAAACTATGGAAATGATTAACTAGATTAGGTAGATGACAGATGACAAGAAATGATCTATTCTGGTCATGGCCCAGGAGGCTAAAAAGACAGACTCCTTTGGGACCTATTCATTTATTCATGTATTTATTCATTCTTTTTTATTTAATAAAAAATATTTAGAGCCTCTATATACCAGGCAGATTGAGTATTCACAGTGAGAAGGAACAGATATTTTGAAAAAGTTAGGGAAAACCTGGGGTGTTTCAAGGTATTTCCCTACCCAGTGCCAAACCAGTGACCATCAGGCAGATGATCCAGCCAGCAAAATACAGGCAAATAAGGACCAGTAGGTGATGAAAGAGAATCCCAGAATCTAAGGAACCGGTGATCTTGATGGCCCTTTCCAGCACCATTGTAGAACAGATGATAAAACAGGTGGTTGTGACAATTTATAAATGTGGGAAGAAATTGTCTCATTATACCCTGTGAAGTCCTGGTCACAGCTGGACCACTGTGTTCAATTCCGCAACACTGAGCTCTGCCAGGCCCATTTTAAGAACTACATTGACCAGTGAGATTGTCAGGGGAGCAGCACATTAAGAGATCCACAAACTGTGTCTGCACAATTGACAGATTGAAGGATGTTTTCTGGCAGGAGGAAAAAATGGAAGAAAAGTAATTGCTAACTTCAAGTGGTAAGAGAGAAGAGAGCAGGCCCGCAGAGGAGGGAACAGGCACAGTCTCTGTTACATCAGTGGTTTGAAGGTAGAGCAGGACTTTGAAGGGAAGACAGAACCTGCCCATGTGGGAGCTGTCCAGCAGTAGTGCCACTGCCTCTGGAGAAGGAGCTTCTTGAGTCTAGGGACCGGATGACCTCCTGTTAGGATGGGGAGGAATTCCTGCATGGGGCTGGGTTAGATAATTTCAGAAACATTTCTGCCCTGAATTTTGTGTTTCTATGATACTGGGAAAAAAACATGTATCATAAAATCTAGGAGCACAAAACAGAATATTACCACCCCCACCAACATACTGTCCCTTTCTCAGGGTCCCTAAATAGGGCGTGGAATTTTGTTTCAGGTTTTGTCTACATTTTAAAGTCTACGAGAACAGCTTTTCAGACCCTCTGGACTTGGGGTGGGAATTTTGGGCCACCACTTGGGACCAAGGATCATCCTTAGGGTGTGAGTTTGGAACAGTCTCAGTTACTCTTTTGGGATCCATCTCGGCCCGAAATGAGTCCTTTCCAACTTTCTTTCTTGTTTCTGATGAGTTGGAGCATCCATCTGTTGGGTCCTCTCCAAGCTTTCTATCATTTTGTTTTGAGGAATCATAGAATATCAGGGTAAGAAAGGGCCTTAAAATCTTAAATAATTCAACTTCTTAACAACTCCATTCACTCAATTCAACAAATATTTGTTGAGTGCCTACTGTAAGCTGGGGCCTGGATAGGGACCTTGGTGAGTTCTCATGTAATTTTTTCTGACTGTCATCTATTCTACATTTATCTAGCATGTTTATCCTTCTGGCCTATTATCTGATTGCAGTTACTTGTACATGAAGGGGGTGGAAAGGAAATACTCAGATACAATCAACTGATGAATGTCCCTAGAAATTGAGAGACAAGATAGAAAATCTAGCCTGAGAGTAAACAATTGCCCAGGCAGAGCTTACAGGGTGGATAATCTACCCACTGATTTTTGGGAGTTGATCAAATGCTTGAAAGAAGAATATCAAAGTATGTAGTAAAGAAATCCTAGGTTATTTTTTATTGCATTGAATTCCTCCTCTTCATCATAATTCTTGTCTTACTTTGTAATGACCATCTTTCTGCTGCTCCTAAGAGCACCAGTTTTTAGCC